CGGTTCGCGAACATTTGCGGAAGTTCTCGTTCGCCGTTCGCGAACCGAAAATTTCGGGTTCGCGACATCACTAATCCTCAGAGAAGGTGTCTGTAAAAAAAAATAAAACATAAGGAACAAAAATTTAAAAAAGGCCACTCAAGTTTTTTTCTTCCGACAAAAAAGTAATCTGCAGAGAAAAATAATTTAGATAATTCCTCTCTATCTATGTCAAAAGATGAAGATTCCATGCAAAGTTTGAAAGCCAAACAGAAAATGATATCACAGCAGATTTCTTGAAACAGTGCCTGGAAGAACAACTGGTAGCAATAACTGATAAATTAAACAACACTTCTACAGACATCAAAAATCAACTCAGAGAAATAATGGAGAAATTAAAGCTAAATGAAGAGAAAATTTTAAGTCTTGAATTTGAAGGCGGAGTACTTAAAGAACAAAATCAGAAATTAGATACATACCTGAGACAATTAGAAGGAAAAATAGGAGAGTTAGAAGATCGCTCAAGAAGAAATAACTTAAGGATAAGAAATGTGCCGGAGGCGGTCACACAAGAAAAAATCCCTGAGTATTTAGACAAATTATAGTCAGTACTCAAAATAGACTCTCAGAATTAAAACCCTTCCATGGAAAGATTACATCGTCTAAATAAACCTAAATCGATTCCTCATCATTTACCAAGAGACTTATTAGTTAATTTGCAATCATTTCAATTTAAAGAAGCCATTTTACGGGCAGCTAGAAGAAGTCCCACTAGAGAAGCAGAGTTTGGAAATATTAAGATTCTCCAAGATCTATCTTTCTACACCAGAATTCAAAGAAGGAAATTTATGGAGGCTACGAATATCCTGCGAAGCTTAAATATAAAATATTCATGGATCTACTAAAAGCAAAATAAAGATCATTACAGAAGAAATAGTGGAGACTTTTGATACGTCATCTCAGGTTGAAGAATGGATTAAAACGAAGAAAAAAAAACAAAGTACCTACCACGGAATAAATTAAAAATGGAAATGGAAGATCTGGACTGAATGACTCCCTGCTGATATATATTTTTTTTTTTCTCAAAAGAAAGTTTTAAAAGTGTATTTACGACTTAAGTCATGTCATACAAATACAAAGTAAATCAGGCAAAGAGTATATGAATTTTGATTATACTATTAGAGGAGTTTCATGACACTGAAATAATGTAACACCCCAACAGAAAGTACATATATGAGGCACTTAGGATTATAGAGAAAGAAAAAAAGTAAAAAAGTATTTGATTAGTTTTTAGCTGAATTTAGAGAGTTACAATTATTAGAGAAAGATAAGTTAGTCACTATAACGAGGAATAGAAAAAGAGAAGAGAAAAGGTTTTTTTTTCTCTCCTCTAGAGTTAGAATATTTCTGTAAAAGAAAACTTTAATCAAGATATATATAGAATGTCATATAATACATATATAAAATAAAATGGGAAGAAGATATGCAAATTTTGTTTATACCATCAGATGAGTTGCACGGCACTGAAATAATGTAATACTATAGGAGGCACTTATGATTATAGTTAAAGAATAGTATCAAATCTTTGATTGGGTCACTAGAGTATAAAGAGTCACAATTGTTATAGAAATATAAGTTAGTCACTATAAAGGATGGAAATAATAGAAAATAAATAATGTAGTTATATTTAAGTTGATATAAGAAATATAATTATTTGTTGGTACAACAGAACAATAGAAGAGATTCACTATAGAAAGGGAAGGAATAGGGGAGGAAAAAATATTTTTTTTTCTCTCTCCTTTCCTCTTCTCTTCCGGATTGAGGGGAGGAGGAGAACAGGGAGAGTGAATAGAAGAGGAAAAAAGGATTAGAAAGATATCAAGTCAGGATTTCTACAGTCTGGGTCAAACTTTTGATTAACTTTAGATTAAGCTTAATTACTGATACAATTTTTTTAAGTCAATTAATAAATGGGCTTTTATAGTATAGACATTTCTATATAAAAAAGGAGAAAGAAAAAAAAAGAAAAGGAAAAATCTAGCAGGTGTAATAGGAGAGAATGGGTTAACTGTTACATGATAGCTTCACCTAAATTTCAATAATAAGAGCAGGGGAAAAAGGGTGGTGGCAATATTTTTCTCTAAAGCCCTTAAAATTAATGTAAAGTATATAGAAGCAGACCTGGAAGGTAGATTCAGCCTATTAGTATGTTCAGTCAATGAAGAGTTATTTACTTTGGTAAATGTCTATTTGCCCAATAAAAATCCTATGAGGTTATTAAGACAAGTATTAAATACAGTAGAAAAGGTCGGAGTAGGTTTAAAGATATATGCTGGAGACTATAATTGTACACATGACCCCAAAATGGATAACTTTTCTGAAAGACAGATATCTTAGGATAACCAAGTTGCAAATATGCAAGAATCTCTATTGGATGTTACCATCCAATATATTTAATCAATGTTGATATCAAGTTATTCTCTTCTATAATTGCTGGAAGACTTAAAAAAGTTCTTAACTAACTGGTCCACCAGGATCAAACAGGCTTTGTGCCAGATAGAATGGCAAATAACAACATTAGAAGATTAATAGATGTCTTGGATTTATCTCAAACAAATAGAGGTCCCATGCTGATCCTGTCTTTAGATGCCGAAAAGGCCTTTGACAGGGTCAGCTGGGGATTCATGAAGTGCACATTAGAAGAAATAGTTATACAAGGATGGCTTCTAACTGCTATTTTTGCCTTATACAAATCTCCAATGGCTAGAACAATAGGCCCAAGCTTGTGTTTAAACTGGTTCAACTTAAAAAATGGGACCAGACAGGGATGCCCTTTATCCCCTATACTTTACATATTGACACTGGTACTGGTGTGTAAAATCAGACACAAAAATAAGATTGAAGGACGACGCTATTTTATTTCTAAGTGAACCGTCAATCTCGCTCCCAAATGTGATGGAAGAGATACAGATGTACAGTACGGTCTCAAACTACAAGCTAAATAATACAAAAACTTCTGTTATATACATAAATTTGCCAAAACAAGATATAGATTTATATCAAGAAGAATTCGGCTTTATTATTAGGGAATGAATATTTCGAAGGATATCAAAAATATCATGCGTATAAATTTTATGAATCTTCTTAAGGAAACAAATAAAAATTTTAAAGAATGGAAAAAATTAGAAGTATATTGCAGAGGTAGAATAAATATTTAGAAATCATATGTTTTGCCAAAGTGGATATATTTGTTTAGGATGTTGCCCTTGGAAATTCCAAAGCCATGGCCGTCAATGATAAATACGCCTTTTTCAAACTTTGTTTGGCAAAAAAAGAAACCCAGAATCAAAAATACAACATTATCAAGAGGAATAAAAAATGGAGGATTAGGGTGTGGTGAAACCGACCTCGCCACTGGGCATTGGAGAAGACTGTTTGTCAGCCTCCTGCCATGTGACTATGGCCCCCTGGCATGTATTGCCCTTTAAAGACATGATTTGGGCATAATGGATTTGTGTTGTGATGCTGGCCCTTTAAGAACCATCTGGGGACATACTGTGGAGTTACTGGGTGGCCACCATTTCCTGTATCCTGAGGCACATGGTGAGAACAATGGATGAGGCACATGGTGAGAACATTGGATGAAGCACATGGTGAGAACAATGGATGGCGGCCATTTTAACTCACAGACACTGTTTGGACTTTTCAACACGGTGCCATCTCACCAGTATTTGGTGCACAGAGACATCGTGTAGTGGTTTTGGACTATACAACAGGGGACACATTATACAGTAATTGTTTTTCATTTAGCCTGTATATGTTCTGCAGAATCTGCATTAAACTGTATCTTCCAAAGTACTGAACGGATCTGGGTGAATTTTGGATATGTGGTTCACCCCGATCCCCCGGTTCCAATGGGGTTATTGCATGTTTTGGGGTCCCTGTGTTGTGTTTTATAATACTGTATTTCTCTGTCTGTGATAATTATATTAACCATTGTGTTCAGTAATCATATCACAGGCAGAGGGGAGTATTTTGTGTGGGAGTGTCTGTGTGTATTGTACAGATTGATTGGTTGTTCTGTAAAACCCTGTGGGCAGTACTAAGTTTGTGGATTTGGAATAAAAGAGGCTGAATGTGCCAGTCCAGTTAGTTCCTGCTTAACCCTCAAAGTGAAGTGTCGCCTCATTATTGGGGGAGGATTTATTGTATGCTGTTCCTGTTTGACTGCTAGGAGTAATGCCATCTAGTGATTCATTTCCAGATTAGGTAGACCCAGCCCACCCAGAGATTTAGGCCTGGTCAGAGTGAGGAATGGGATTTTGGGATGTTTGTACGCCCAGATAAATACCGTAAATAGTTTTTTAGCCTCTGTAAAAAACTATTTAGGAAGGCTGATTGAAAGGACTTGCAGCAGATAGAGGAAGCGGGGGAGTACATTCATATTTAGAATATTCACTCAGCATAGCCAACCAAAGTTTATGGTTTATGCCATAATTTAAGATCATGTGTCACCTCTAGCATAAGTGGTGGAAAGTTGAGCTCAAATAATTTTGACAATGTGTAGGGTAGGAAAACTCCCAGGTATTTAATGGCCGTGGTGGCTCATTTAAATGGGTACCTTTGTGAGATATTGGCCCACTCAGTTGGGGTTATGTTCAATGCCAGAATTTTGCTTTTAGCAAAATTGACTTGAAAGTTAGATAATTCGTTATATTGTGAGATTTCTTGGAGAATGTGTGGCATGGTAGTTGTTGGATTGGTGACCATAAATAATAAGTCGCCGACAAATGCTGCGACTTTATGGTCATCGTTGTTGTGACGGAACGCTGGCACTCCGACTGAGTACCTCCGCCAATCGATGCTCCTAGTGCTCGCTGAGGACTCCAAGCACTCCAACCGACACCATCAGCACTGCAGACCCCACTTCCAGCGATGCAACTGCGCCGGGGTCTCTGCTGTTTCCACCCACCCTGGACCCAAGGCCAGGATCCAGCTTCCAGTGGGTGAACCTCTCTTTCCCCAGAGAGCAGGAACAGGAACAAATCAAGCTATTGCAAGAGCTTCCTCTGGGGAGTAAGTGATTATAGCAATCCCCAGAGTGTAGGTATCCCTTCCCCCAAACATGAGCCAAGGCTTAATGCTGGAACAAGACTAATTTACTGGCACACAGAACTCACAATTTATGCAACACAAAACTCCTCCTCTGGGCCAGGCTAGATAATTGAGTTTCTACAATACACAAAGCTCAATTATCTGCTGGCCAGATATTATACAGTTTCATAAAACACACAGGGACCCCAAAACATGCAATAACCCCATAAAAAGTATATCCTTGGAACCGGGGGATCTGGGTGAACCACATATCCAAAATTCACCCAGATCCGTTCAGTACTTTGGAAAATACAGTTTAATGCAGATTCTGCAGAACATATACAGGCTAAATGAAAAACAATCACTGTATAATGTGTCCCCTGCTGTATAGTCCAAAACCACTGCATGATGTCTCTGTGCACCAAATACTGGCGAGATGGCACCGTGTTGAAAAGTCCAAACAGTGTCTGTGAGTTAAAATGGCTGCCATCCATTGTTCTCACCATGTGCTTCTGATACAGGAAATGGTGGCCACCCAGTAACTCCACAGTATGTCCCCAGATGGTTCTTAAAGGGCCAGCAGCAGCACAACACAAATCCATTATGCCCAAATCATGTCTTTAAAGGGCAATACATCCCAGGGGCCATAGTCACAGTGCAAGAGGCAGGCAAGCAGTCCTCTCCAGGCACAAGTGGCGAAGGGCACTTCGTCACAGTTGTTTATTTGCATCCCCTGGATATTGGGATTGTCCCTTATGCCTTATGAAAAAGGCTCCATGACCAGAATGAATAAGAGAAGGTTGAGGGGGCACACCTGTCTCGTTCCATTCCTGATATTTACTGATATTTACTGATAGCTGTCCATTAATTCGAGCTGTGGGCTCAGAGTAGATAGCTTGGAGCCACTTTATCCAATTAGGGCAAAAGCCCATGGCCCACAGCGTGCCTAGCAGCCACCTTGTCAAACGCCATTTCGGCGTCTATAGAAAGAAGGAGAGATTGAGCAGAGGTTGTTTGGAGAGATATATCAGATTAAGTAGTTTGGTGGTGTTGTTTTTAGCTTCCCTCCCTGGTCCAAAATCCGCCTGATAAGGGTGAAACCAGTCCCCCCAGGGAATGACCACAGGCGAGTGGCCAGGATTTAGGGAATATTTTTAAATCAACATTAATTAGGGAGATGGGTCTGTAGCTATCACACTCTGTTGGGTCTTTTCCGGGTTTTGGAAGAAGTGTAACGTGAGCTTCTAGTGCGGAGTGGGGAGGCTTATATCAGAGGTGTGTTATATGCTGTTAGGAAGGGTTGTGATAGTTCATTAAGGAACATTTTATAATATTTAGCCGTGAATCCATCTAGGCCCGGGCTTTTGCCAGATGGTAGATGCTTAATTGCTATGCGCAAGTAATCAATTTGCAGGGGTTCATTAAATACCTGTAGGGCATTACGGAGGATAGTGTGTTTGATCCTGGCTTCTAGGTATTGAGTTATGTGCTCCTTGGGTGGTGGCACATCTGCAAGGTTGTAGAAAGATGTGTAGAAGTCATGGAATGCTTTCATGATGTCGGGTTTCATGTATAGGGTGCCCCCTGTGCTCGTTTTGATTTTTTCTATAAATGTGAACTGTTTCTGCTGCTGGAGGGTCCTAGCCATAAGTTTTCTACATTTTCCCCCCTGGGAGTAATATTCATGTTTGGTAAGCAGCAGCTACCTTTTGGTTTGCATATTTAGTAGCATTTGAAGCTTGTATCTCATATCTATTAAGGTTTTCTAGTCTGTTAGTGAAAAAGTGGCCTGGTGCCTATTTTCAAGGTCCCTGATGTCTGAGACAAGTTTCTTAACTTCATCTTTTTGTATTTTTTTCTTTTTGGTATCAGAAGCTATCAGAACTCCCTGTATAACACATGTATGAGCTTCCCAAGTAGTGGTAGGGGTGGTGAAGGAGTTGGAATTCTTTGTGAAATAGTGTTTAATAGTTTCCCTGAGCATGTTTAGAACCTCATGATCATTCAGGAGCGTGTAATTCAGCTTCCACTGAGTTAGCGTAGTGGGTAGAGATGGGATGAGAATGGAAAGAGACAGGGGTGCATGGTCACACCATGTGATAGGCCCATGTGTACTTCATTGTATTAAATGTAAAAATCTGTAGGGCAGAAATAGCATATCGATACGAGAATAGGAGTTGGCTGCCGGGGAGTAAAAGGAATAGTCCCTCCTAGAGAGGTGGAGTATGAGCCAGCTGTCGTACAATTGAGCCCGGTCAAGTAAGTCAATGAGGCGTTTCCGTGTGGATGATTGGTACGATTGCATTGTAGAGGTTGAGTCTAGGATCATGTCTAGTGTGGAATTCAAGACGCCCCCCCAAGATAAGAACTCCATCTGCAAATGTGCCAATGAGGATCAAGTATTTGTGTAAGGACCTGAATTGTTTTTAGTTTAGTAAGTACAGGTTAACCAGCGTAACAATCGTCTTCCCCACCTGACTCTTCACCATGATAAATCTGCCTGTGTCATCAGATTAGTGAGCTTTATAAGAAAAAGGTAAGTGTGCTGCAATCAATATGGCCACTCCTTTTAAATTTAGATTCAGTATAGTTATTAAAGTACCCCTCTATAATTTTTTATATATCCATAATTTTGGAGTTTTGGTGCAGCCCCTTCACGAAAGTGGGTCTCTTGAAAAAAAGCCATGTCAGCTTTTAGTTTGTGGATTTCCAACAGCACCAAGGATCGTTTTTCTGGGGAATTAAATCCCTGGAGGTTAAGGGATACCACCCGAACGGTGGCCATTACAGGTTGTGCTGTATGGGGGGGGGCATTTGGGGACTTACTTCCTTGGTAACTATGTGCCAGAAAGAGCGGGAAAAAAGAGCAAAAAGCAATCTAAACAAATACTAGTTTTCCTAAACTAAGAAGCTTAACAGTACAGGGTGTAGAGAGTTTAGAAATCGTGTACTGAGAGCGCTAGTGTCAATCCCTGAATGGGTAAAATGCCAACAGGAATTTGGATGTGACACCGCTTGTATTAATCCGCTAACCAATAATTGGTCAGTAGATTAAGGGGTGTAGCAAATAGCTTAACTATATAATGATTCAACGGCTGGAATCACTGATTTAGAATGAGAAAAATAATTTTAGTGGACCGGTTAAGGTGGATTAGCCTAATTTATTCTTGGAAGTTAGACTTTGAAGTGACCAACTTCCTGGTTCCTCCATGTCCAGAGCAACTGCATCTATATATACGTATAATTACAATAATAAATAAATAAAAAAATAAAATATTTTAAAAATAAATAAAATAAATTATATATACATATGTAATTTCATTCTAACTGTATTTTGTTATTAATATATATACATATATATATTGGTAACAAAATACACTTAGAATGACATTCTATATATATCTATCTATATATAAAATACAAACAACCGCAAATATATATATATATATATACAGATAAATATATATAATTACATAAATAACTACATAAGTGTACGCGTAGACTTTAAATACATATATATGTATATATATTAAAATTCTACGTGTATATTTAAGTAATATTTTAACATAATTATGTGATTTAATTAGTTAAAATTTGATTGACATGCCTGACAACCCAGGCAAAAAGTGCAGAGAATTTGAATTGCACTTTTACTGACAATATTATTGTTGTAATATGTTTTACTGTTTTTAAACACTTATTTTTTTAGTTTAGTGAAGTCTCCCAAGTATAACAGTACCCCCCATGTACAGTTTTTATGGTGTTTTGGAAAGTTAGAGAGTCAAATATAAGGCTTGCATTTCATTTTTTTCACATTGAAATTTGCCAGATTAGTTATGTTGCCATTTTTTTTTTTTTTTTAATTTCTTTATTTATGTGAGCTTGGTTTGGCAAGTTAACAGCATCATACATAAACAGTGGTATGATAATTTAAAGCAGTACAGTAAAATAGTGTTAACATTGATATTTCAAGGTTGTAAGCACATTTTCATATATCCATCATGTTGGGTGGCATACCTGGGGTCTGCTGGGTTGTGTAGGTTCATTATTGTGGGCGTTATACCCCTGGTGTACTACAAGTGTGGGAGTGTGTGGGTGCTCCCTGGTTCGGGTTGCGGTGTGTCAGTGTGTATGGGAGCATGTATATGATTGTTGCAAGCGGTTTTAGGTTTGTGGGTCTGGATGCCTGTGTGTACTCGCCTGCGGAGCTCTTTCTAGTACCAGGGTGGTTGGAATAACATGTGTGTAAGGCGCTCCGGTTTGAGCTGTACCCTATGTGGCATCTCATCTAGCCCCCTATCCCTGGGGGTGTTGTGAGGTGGGCGGAGTGGCGCTAGTCGTGGTGAGCGCCTATATACTATCGTGCGTGAGGTGTTGTCTGCCTTTCCTCTGGGGGTAGGGGCCCCGTAATTGCGGTTGCGTTAAGGTCAAAAAGGACGGACCCAAGTGGGGCAGTGAAGGAGAAAAAAAAAAAATATATATATATATATGAAATAAACATTGGAGTTAGAAGTCTTTGAAGTTATCGCTCTGTGTCAAGAGATGTCTGGGACTTCCGTTTGACGGTTTCGGCCATGTCTTGCATATTGTCCCCGTGCCCAGTCAAGTGTCCAGAGTCTGTAGATCTCGTGTTGGCTGTCCAGGAGTAGAGCAGTCCTCTGGGTCCCAGCTCTCTGGTCGACCTGCAGTCGTGGAGGTGAGATGTGGGGGTTGTAGTCCCAGTGTCTTCAGGAAAGTGGGGGCCCCAGTTGGGGATGTGAGGTGGTGTGCAGTTCCATTGTGGTGAACGAGCAGGGCACCAGTGTTCCCCCATCTGTAGGCAATGCCTGCTTTGCGCAGCGCGGTGGTCACGGGTCCAAAGGTCTTCCGCTTTAACAATGTGGCTCTGGTGACATCCTGGAAGAAAGAGAGCTGAGTGCCTTCAAATACCAGCGGCGTTTTGCCTTTAATGGCGGTCATTATTTGTATCTTGTCAGGTACCGATGCCAGACGCAGAATGACGTCCCTGGGCATGCTGGATGGTAAGTGTGTGGAGCTTGTCACTCTGTATATCCCGTTGATTGATATTTTCTTGGCGGATGCCTGGGGTAGCAGTGTTGTGAGCAGTCTCCGCGTATAATACGGTAGCTCCTCAATCGTTACTGTGGTGGGGACACCTCTGATTTTGATATTCTTCCGTCGTTGTTTGTCCTCCAGGGACATGATTTGACCTGCTAGTACGTTTTGCTCTGCTTGGAGTCGGTTGACTGAGTCCATGAGGGTGGACACTGTGCCCTGAATGTTGGTGATGTCCACCTCTGCAGTTCCAACCCTCTCCTGCACACTTTGAATATCAGCCTTGACCTTTGCGACGTCGGCCGCTAGCAAGTTTTGTATGTTGATCAGGAGGGCTTTTAGGTCCCCTTTAGTAGCGGGGG